TTTAGATCGTAAACCCGACACTGATCCTCTCGTTGCTACATTTGCTTCTGAAGCTCGCTTCAGTGGTCAGGACGTGCAAGACCGATCAAGTGGTAATGTGTTTGGTAAAGAGGAGCCGGACGCCGCGAAGGATCCCCACAACACCGGGCGGAAACGTAATAAGGGCAAGCGGTCCGACAAATACGACAGGCGGCGGGAAATTCTTGATGAGCGCTCACAAGCTTCGCTTACGCAGGCCAATAAATTGCATGCTGCGGAGCTAGAGGAGAGACGTCGCCAGCACACCGAACACATGTTGCTGTGACGTGTTTTCTTGGTGTATTAAAAGGAGTGCTAAATATATATATATAACTTTGCTGATTACTTTAATGTTGGCTGAGTGCTAAAATAAAGGTTTATTCGTTTAGCAACTACATTTCGCTACCACAACGAAATACAAGCCGTTTTTTTAGCACGAAGATTATCAACAGTCGAGCCTTCTACTTTGGTTTCTGGGTCTGGAAACTTATCTTGATATTCTTTTAGTAGTCGACGCTCTTCATTGTCATCAAATTCAGTAGTGGCTTTGCTGTCCACAAAACCTTTTGAATAATGCATAGAGCATAAACCATATCGGGCGCAATTTCGATATATAATTGAATGCCTTATAGTAGAATCCTTCAACAGCACTTTAATTGTCCAAACGAACACTCTACCCGATACCGGGATGGCATAGTCGCTTCTTTAGCTTTGCCCAAACGGTGTCAGCCAACTCGAATGTCGTCACAAGGTAGTTCGTATTCTGGTAGCCCGAGTCACCAAGAAGAAAAAAAGGCAGCTTCGCATAGCTACCTTTTTCTGTTGCGATCGTCACTGCCTTTGAGCGGCAGAAACTTCAGGGAACGAGAGTGCTAAAGCACAAATTCGGGAAAAAAATGTGCTTTAGCACTCCTACTGTCGCCAACGCGGCCCGGCCATTTGCAATCAAGATCACAGAATTGACCACTCCAATCCACAACAGCTTGTAATACTATACTGTTCCAGCACTTGCGATTGTAATACGTATCCTCATTAGCACTTGGTTGGTATGCAAGATCCATCAATACAGCCTATTATTCGCGGAATACCGCATTGCTCTTTAAATTGGGATGCGCACGTCTCAAACGGAGGGAACGAGACCAGCGATTGTAGCTCACAACACACGACCTTGATAGCTTCCCTCAGAATTCGGGACACTGTCGATGGTCCCACCCCGAAACGGTCAGCGGTATTTTGTAGAGTCACCCCTTGCGCACAGAGAAACAGAAAAAAATGCCAAGAGCATATGCGGCAATACAGGGTCGGCCGTCTGTCGAGCCGGGGCGAGTCGAGAACAGACAATTTGAGTGAGATACTCAGAGCGGATAGCATCCATACGAAACCGGTCACGCGTACGGCTGTTGAAAAATGTTCAGGAAGAAAACAACATTTTTGCCCAATGTCAATTTCTCTCTTTGGCAAGAATATTCCGATCTTCAGGCCCAACGTATGTGTCTACCATCTCCATTTTCATTTTGAGCAAATCTTGGTGAAGCATAACAGATTGACCCCCTCTACTACGACGGGTGCCATCAATTCCAGAAGCACCAGAACTTGTTCGTGCATGATAGCTTCGATTTATATCTAGTGTTTTTTTAAGTGTCGCACCTTATATTATATATACACGAGGTTTCCAGATAATGCTTGTAAGTCATCGCGAAAAAGTGGCCCTTTCGAAACTTTTTTTCCAAGAATGCCACCATTTCCAGGTTTAGGTACCAGAGAGGCCGGTGAACCTGAATTTAAGTGAAACTTGTGGCGATATGGGTGCGAGACCTTTCTCATAGAGGTTCTTTTTGTGGTCTAATTTCGCACAGCGCACAGTCCCCGCAACTCAAGGTGGGAGCGCAGGCATGGGCGGGGCTCCCCGCTCATCAGAGGTTTCGCGGTATAGGGACAGCGATTGGGGCCCGGTGTTGGGGCTTCAAAAGCCGCGCGGCATAAATCTCCCCCAAACGCCGCGCCCTCTTTGGGGGGCCGTAAATTACAGTAATTACAGTACATGTACTAAAATGTTCAGTGACCATAATTGGTGTTCCTTCAATTATGGTCACTGAACATTTTAGTACATGTACTGTAATTACTGTAATTTACGGCCTCACCGCAACAGGTGTTATTGTGCGTTCTACTCGAGATTTCCGTTCGCGGCTCTTTGAATGAGCGCTAGCGCAAATCTGCTATGACTTCCCTTAAGAGAGACTCCAGTTAGGTACGAACTACGACCATTTAAGTACGATCTGGGCCGCTTCGAAATAACAGGAAATTGTATTCGAGTATCTCACTGAATAGGAC